TATTCCTACCCATACTATATATATATATATATATATATATAGCAAATGGATTTTTATTAAACAATATAAATTTTATTTTAAATTAATTAAAATCATTTAAAATATATGTTAATATATCTATAACAAAATTATATAATTATGCAAGATATTTTTTTAAGTTAAGAAAAATACATTTTAATTTTTATTCTTTAAAAAAACTATACTACAGATATTACACATATTCATTAAATATTTATGAGGGTATAGATAAAGATAAATTTAAAATATTCATTGAGTATAAATATGATGATGAATATAATATAAAAATTTAAAAATAAAAATAAAAAATATTTTATTCATCTCATATCCTATTCATTGATATCTTTACATGCATATATCAATTATAATAATAAAATGTTTAGTATAGTTATCTTAATGCAACAAAACTAATAAAACGTGAATTAAAAATTCATCAATTTATTTTTGGCCTTCAAAATGTTTTTGTTCAGATAAAAAAGAGAGCCTTTTGTTTTCTTTTTCATTTTATAAAATGAAATGATGAGCAAGCTTTTCCAAAGTGAAATCATTCGATCCAAAAATAAAAAAAGAAAAAGAAAAGGTTGGAAGAGAAAGGGTTAGTCGATGATTCTTGTTTATTTGACCATAATTTCATTTCGATGAATGGTGAAAAAAATTTATTTATTATTTTGGAATTGAACCTCCCCCCAGTTATCTAAGTGAAACATATATCATTGAAGTAAAGAGTGAAGATTTATCTTGATAAATGACATATTTGACCACAAAAATTAAGATATACTACTTTCTTCATATTTTTTTATTATTTAAATCTTTATTATCTTAATGGTAGGGGTGATAATGGTTTGATTTGAATCGAATTCGACTCGATTTTTAAGATATTTCATAATATTATGAAAATTTTAATTTGAACAAAATTTTCTTTTGATTTGAGTTAAACTGAACTAAATTTTATCGATTTGGTTCAATTTATTGATTTTTAATTTTTATATATTATGTTAATATCAATTTTTAATATATTTAAATAAATTTTGATATAAATTATTAATTTTATTGTATAAAAATTTGAAATATATATAAAAACTAAAAAATATATATAATTCGATTTAGTTTTGGATTTTTTTTTTTTTACTTTTTGATATGAAATCTGACCTAAACTAGTATATATTTAATATTTAAATTTGATTAAAAATAATCAATCAGAGCTGAATCAAACACTATAATTTTAAATTAATTTTCGGAATTTTAAAATTTTTTTCTCACCCCTGTTTACTAACTAAGAACTAAAAATGTGAGGTAAATTTCATTTATGGAAGTGAAAAATACCATTATCAAATGGGCTTAGTTTATTTGGGCTTGTGCAAGTTTCGAGACCAAATAAGAGGAAGTTTGTTCCACCTTTTATTACATTGGTGTATTGAACTTCAATCCGTATGGCCCATGAGTGGTGCGGACAGGAGTCGAGGATGACTTGACTTTGCCTCTTCCACTTGAATTTTACACTCCGTAAAACCTTCACACCTTTTTCTTAGCTTTGTTTTCTTTCAAATATATGATAGACAAGTTAACAACCAACAAATATTATGCCCTAAACGTGTTTTGTTTGTTCTGACATTTAAATTCTAAACCACTTGTATAATGTCGAGTAGTGTTTTTTTTTTTTTTTTAAGGTTTTAAGATTTAATTTTTGATTATTAAAATTAAAAATTAAATATTTTATCAACATGTCACAGATATATTAAATAAAAGTCGTAAAATTCTTTACTAAAAACATTAAATAAAAATTAAAATTGATAAATTAAAAAAAAATTTATTACATAAACTAAATATGTAAATTTTGAAAAATTTTAATAAAATTTGATTTATTTATTAATTTTTATTGTTAGTAAAAATTTTGATAGATTTTTTAAATTTAAATAAGTATTAATCAAATTTGAATTATAAATAATTTTTTAAATAATTTTTTTACATATTATTAATTTTTATTAAATTTTATCAATCTATCATTTTAAAATTTTTATTAATATTTGATTGAATAATTTATACTATAAAACTTTATAAATTTCACCTAAAATCATCAATTACACTAAATTTCGGATTCATTATTAGATTCATTTATATGACTAATGTGCAGTAGATGTTTGGTGAACTATAACTTCTTAATTTCTTACCTGTACAACCAAACAGCTAATACAAACACCATATTACCCTATATTATATATTGAAGAAAAATACTGGCACCACCCATGTAAGTTTGCAATAAATAAAGAGGATCGGCAAGAAAAAAAAAAAAAAAGAAAAAAAACAGAGGAGGTTATTTAATCGATTGGAGGACGCGTCAAATCATCTGTCTGGGGTTGGGTGCATCTATTTATGCTGTCTGCTGCATTTGGGCTTTTGCAGCAATTAGTGTTCGTGTCGGTCAATTTTTTTAATGCAATTATTTTTTTTATTTCTTAATTTTTAAATGTTTGATAATTATTTTAAATTTTAATTAATATAAAATTAAATTAAATAAAATTTTACAAGAAAGTAAATTCTTTTAATTCCTATTTTTCTCATTTAAAATATTCAAAATCAAAATATTATTTTAAAAAATCGAATTCTTTAATCACTTTATATATCAATTCTCTCTCTCACTAACCTTTGTTTTTCATTGTTTCTGTTAATTTTTTAAAATATTAAAAAAATATTTGAACTAGTTCATTTTTAATTAAAATTTTATTATATTTTCAATTACGGCATGTCAACACTTTAAAAAGTCAACCGCTGCCGTTATTCACAAAGAGAAGAAACTTAAAAAATTACTATTAAAAATTAAAATATCCTATTTGCCAAAGTTTGACTAAAAAATAAATAAATTGTAATTTAGTACTATTATTATAATGTAATAATGTGGTAAATATCGAGATGAACAAAATATGTAAATATTTGGATTTTTTCCTTTATTAAACAAGAAACAAAATTTTGGTTTCTAATGAGAAAATTCAACTATGTCGTTTTACAAAACCGAGTGATAACAACAAGCTAAACAAAAAGGATTTTTCTTAATATATTTAATCCATTAAGTTAAACTTTTACGAGTAAAATAAATAATTCAATTATTTTATCATTGTATATTGTTCAAAAAATAAAGAGAATTTATTTATTTTTTAATTATTTGAATTTAAATTCATTAAAACCTATAAAATATAATTTTTTATTAATTTATTAGATTCGATATAAAAATAATTTTGCAATGGAGAATAATGTATTTGGAATTTGTTGGCAATTGGCATCTCTATTAAAGCACCATCATTTGAGAAAACATGTTTTCATCTCTTGATTCTTTAGTATGTCTTTTTAATTAACTTTTTTGGATTGAAGGTGTTTGATAATTTTCCTCAAAATCCAACCGTTTACAAGACAATTGGAAAGGTCTGAAGTTTCTTATACCTTGCAACCGAATATTAAAATCTCTTTGGATTCCATTTGATGACATTCGAATCTTGAAAATTTCTAACCCGAATCATAAATTCCAAATTTATTGATAAAGACATGTTATTTTCGTACAAAAATTGACAAATCATGCACCTAATTTATGGCTATACTTATTTGCTTGTAGTTGAAATATTATTGTTTTAAAAATAAATTTTATTAAAATCTAGATTTTTCATTATTGACCTCTACATATAAAAAAAAATTAAAAAAGGAAGGTAAAATAATCTCATATATATATATTATATAATAACATACATAAATAAATTTATCAGATAAGTGCTTATATGGACAATCATTTTAAATGATACATAGGATAGTTTTTTTTAAAAATAATATATATATTTAATTACAAATTAGATAATTTAAAAATTATAAAAATTAAGTTTATCTAAATCTCTCAACAATATTTTTTTATCTTGATTTAAAAAATTATCTTTTAAAAAAATTTACGTAAAACATTAAAAATTCAAGTAATTTTATGTAAGATTTTGAAAATTCAAAAAAATTTCATCTTAAATTTTTAAATAATAAGATTATCAAAATGATTATATCTATTTAAACTCTAATTATCAAATTTATATTTCAAATAAATGTAAAAAAAATTAATATTATCTTTATTACTTATTATATTCATTTTAAATCTTAAAAAATTAATTTAAAAACTATCTATTTAATTATAATTACCACTAAAAAATTCTTCTATAAATTTAAGATTACGAATATAATATGTTATACATCAATTTTTATTTTTTCAGTAACTTTTTTTAAAATATATTCTATTACTATTGCAATTTTTTTTTGTTTATAAAATTTTTTTGATATATTTTATTGTTATTACAATTTCATTCATATAACAATAATATTTTTTTCAATTTATTTTTTTTCACATATTTCTAACATTTTTCATATTTTGTATAGTAATTTTGTCAAGATTACTAAAATGAAAATGTGTTAATATTTCTTTTATTATTTAATTTATCATTTAATAATATATATTTTATTTTTTTAAAAATACAATTTATTTTTATTTGATATAATTTTACATGTGTATAAATATTATTATAAACAAAAATATCCAAAAGAAAGACTTTTTTTTTTTTGGTTATTTTCAAGAAGTTTATTTTTAATGACAAATTAATAAATATAAATTTTATATATATCATGAGTCTTAAAGATTTGAATATAATTAAAAATATTAATTTATATATATTTATATTAAATAAATAAAATTATTTTGTGCAACGTATGACTTATAATATAATTTTTTAGTAAAATAATAACACATCAATGATTAATAAACCCTTAGAAAAGGCGTTTCCATCTCTTTTAAAAGCATTAAAGAAGAATAAAACCCTTCATGCAATGAAAGCGGCGTGACCGCGTGAGGCATGCAATGAAACGTGGCTTTTTCAGATTTCCATCATCATTTAAATCTTAAAAAGAACAAAAAGAAGAAAAATCACGGCACATACCCTCCATTAAAAATAAAAAAAAATAATAAGCAGAAAAAAAAAAACAAAAAGAGAAATTTTCCGTTTGGAAGCATATAATTCGACCGAATTTATTTATACAGTGACGGCAGAATTTCATTTGTAATTATTATAATATAATTAATTATATATCAAATCCATTTAAAATTTATATAAATATATACTTTTTGTTACAACTAAATAATTATAATATTTATTAATAAAAAAATTATGGGTGATACGGCAATGACCAAGTCATTACCCAAGTACACTGCCACCAATCACCTTATCGCGTAATTTTCACGTACCGCCTATAGATTCCCTCCTTCCGTGCACTCCCTTCTTCTAATCTCGCCACGTGTCGATACAAATCTCTGCGCCCATCTTCCCCCAATCAACTCCTATAATAACCCCCTTTCATCTCTTTCTCCCTCTCTAGAAAAGTCGCCAACAAATTCCCTCTCTCTCTGTCTCTCTATATTTGCCGTTGTTTACTCGGCGAATTTCTAATTTGTTTTATTTTTTTTATTTTACACCAAAATTCTTTTTTGATTTATTAATATTATTATTTTCCGTTACAGTCTCCAAGATCGGTTAAAATTATTGTCAGATGCATTTATGACCGTCCGATCTACCTCGTGATCCGTGACGTCAAAATACAATTGTTACTGATTTTGCTGAAAGAGGTAGTACTCTATTTTTTTTTCTTCGTCACAAATTAAATTAAAGGAAAAAAAAAAAGAAAGGCAAAATTCAAGAACCTGAAATTTTGAACTCTTCGTTCTACCTTATCATTGCTGCTTGATGGTAATGCGGGTTTTGATAAGGTGCATGCAGGTATATTGATGCCTTTTTGCCCTATTTTGACCAATCGATCTGAAGTCTGATTTTTTGCGGCGGCGCATTGATTCTTCGTTGACGGAGCGTAGATGTCGGGGCCACTCGATCGATTCGCGAGGCCGTGTGAGTTAATTTCTTTCGTTTCTTGAACTGATTTTTACTAATCCTAGGGTTTCAATGTAGCTTCAGTTTGATTGCATATAAATTTTTGGTAGTGTAGATAAAGGAAGAGAAATTTAAACTCGATTTAACAAAAGAAGAAAGGATTTCGATTATTATTTAGGTTTCAGAAAAAAGCATTGTAAGATACAAAAAATATTTTTATTTTCTTTAATTATTAGTACGTTTTATATTTATTTATTTATTTTTTGTGAGTTTTTATTTTGGTAAATTTTTTTGCCATGCGTTTTTTTTTTTTTTTGCTTTAGGGTTTCTGAATAATTTTCAGAAATATATATATGAAAATGAGAAGAAAACAAATTAGTAGTTGCCTTTTCACTTTTATTTTTCTTTATTCGTTTTTTTTTTTTTTAATCTCTGAAAGATCTAATAACCATTACTTGTTCGTAATTGTAATTCTCTGGTATATGTTATGAGGCAGGCTTTGAGGGGCTTTCAAGTAGTGATGAGAGGAGAGAGAGGAAATCTGACTTCGAAAACTCCGAAGATGAAAGGCGCACAAGAATTGGATCCTTGAAAAAGAAAGCAATAAATGCATCTACTAGATTTAAGCATTCTCTCAAAAAGAAGAGTAGTAGAAGGAAAAGTGATGGTCGTGTTAGCTCTGTATCCATCGAGGATGTTCGCGATATTGAGGAGCTACGGGCTGTTGATCAATTTCGGCAAGCGCTGATTTTGGAGGAACTGCTTCCAGAGAGATTCGATGACTATCACATGACGTTGAGGTGCTCTCCTTCTCTTAATTTCATTTCATATTCCCAAAAATAGTAGTGTTTGCTGTTGGATGATTCTCTTTTAACACTGCAATGCAAGTTTTATTGGTTCAGTTTTCTTGTCGAGTCAGCAGTGGACAGCCTCATCACTGAACATGCTATCTACAATATGTATTAGTTTCTGTAATGATTTGTGAATTGTATGCTTCATGGTTCATGATTAAAATCTTGATGTTAATTTGATTTGGTTATTCAATGGTAAGGGAAACTGATAAGAATAATTGTGAGTCCATTGGTCATGCTCTTTGTTATTTTTCTAACACATGTTATTTGCTTTCTGCTTGATGATGTGATATATCCTTTTCTTTATTGCCTAAAGCCTTCTGCATCATTTCTGTTGCTCTGTTCTTTTTTACTTGCTTTGCCATCTTTGAATACTGTGACAAGTAATAATTAGTTTGTAGCCTTACTTTTATGTAGGTTCTTGAAAGCAAGGAAGTTTGATATAGATAAAGCTAAGCATATGTGGGCAGATATGCTCCAATGGAGAGAGGAGTTTGGTGCTGACACCGTGATAGAGGTAATTATGGTTAATAATGTGCCTGAAATAGCATTTGTTGTAATCCATGTTTTCCACTGCATTAATCTTTGGTTTTCAGGATTTTGAGTTCAAGGAGTTGAATGAGGTTTTAAAGTATTACCCTCATGGTCATCATGGTGTTGATAAGGAGGGAAGACCTGTTTATATTGAAAGATTGGGAAAAGTTGATCCCAACAAACTCATGCAAGTTACAACTATGGATCGGTATGTAAAATACCATGTCCGGGAGTTTGAGAAGGCCTTCTCTGTGAAGTTTCCTGCATGTACAATTGCTGCAAAGAGGCACATAGATTCTAGCACAACTATTTTAGATGTTCATGGTGTGGTATGTTTCTTGTAATCACTTGTTGCCATGTTAATACGTGAATTTTTGGCTGCTAAGTAGTAGCTAACAGATGATTATTTTCTTTTCATCTACTTATTAGGGCTTTAAGAATTTTACTAAGTCTGCAAGAGACCTGATTATGCGACTGCAAAAGATTGATGGTGACAATTACCCTGAGGTCTGCCATCTCAATGTGCTTGCATGATGAATTACGAACTCATGCTTCTACCCAAACTTTTATATTATTTTGTGTTGAGCTGAAATTTTATGTTGTGGTTTTTTTATTCTTACAGACTCTTCACCAAATGTTTATCATCAATGCTGGGCCTGGGTTTAGGCTGCTTTGGAACACTGTGAAGACATTTCTAGATCCCAAAACAACTTCCAAGATTCATGTATGTTAATAGTTTTCTTCAATATTTTTGAAATTGACTGTACTTTTTTTTTTGGCTTTTGACTTCTCATTACACATATATGTATTGTGGAGTGACTTTAGGTTCTTGGGAACAAGTACCAGAGCAAATTGCTTGAGATTATTGAAGCCAGGTAAATGGGCTTAGAACTTTCATGACATGATATATTGTTATCTTATCTTTATTTTACTCCTTTTGCAACACAATGTTCATCATCATCTGTCTCACTTTAAAAAAATATATATATACTCTATTACTATATTTCACTATGTGGTTACCTTGTTCTCTCTAAAAGCTTATGGCAATATTTGAAACCCATTCAGTGAGTTACCAGAATTTCTGGGTGGTAGCTGTACATGTGCGGATCAGGGAGGTTGCCTTCGGTCTGATAAGGGGCCTTGGAAAAATCCAGAAATATTGAAGGTTATAAACTGGGCTTGGTACTTATATGTTGTCAATGCTTCAATGGCTTCATCAGCGCACTAAAGAAACACTTTGTGCCATGTATTTGTTCTCAGATGGTTCTTAATGGTGAGGCACGGCGTGCCAGACAAGTCGTAAAAGTTTTGAATAGTGATGGGAAGGTTATTGCTTATGCTAAGCCATCATATCCAATGGTATATGGTCTTTCTAACTTTCAATGGTTCTTGCCTATTCTGGTAAATTCAGATATTCCTGTTTCAAGGTTAGATTTTTGGTTTATCTCATTGCTTATTGTGCCCTGTGAAGCAGCTGAAAGGCAGCGATACATCCACTGCTGAATCTGGATCAGAAGCTGAAGATATTGCATCCCCTAAAGCAATGAAGAGCTATTCTCAACTTCGGCTGACCCCTGTTCGTGAAGAAGTGGGTTTTTTTGTAACTTCGTATCTTTCATTTTGGTTAGGGTATTGAATTGCTTTGCTTGCAGTTGATAATTTGTCAGATTACATTCATTATGAGAAATATAAGTTGTTGGATAGGAAGAGATCTTAAAATGGAATTCTGTTTTTGAACAAAAAAATGCTTTTGGAATATTGGGTTCATTAATATGAAAATTGTTATAAAATTTGACTAGATGTTTTTACTTTATTTTTATTTGGATCAGCTATTTGCATTCTTTTTAGGGTTTTCTTCATTTTGTTTGGTTGTCAAGTAACAAAATGCTATGACCTATGAGTATCACAATGACTTAAAGCGGTACTTGATGATGACTAGATTATGCATCTGATTGGGTCTACACCCAAGTTTAGTATCATTGTAATTTTTGTCTGAGTTGCTAATCCTCTTGTTTGGCTTTGTTAATTATGCAGGCCAAGGTTGTTGGGAAAACAAGCTACGCTGGTAACTTCTCAGGTTATGATGAATATGTTCCCATGGTCGACAAAGCTGTTGATTCTAGTTGGAAGAAGCAAACCTCCCTCCAGAGGCCTTTTGCTTCCAAAGGTTAAGAAATAGTCTTGTTTACCGTGTTACCTTTTGGATGCTAGATTTCTTCATAAGAGCTTGCTTAGACCTTTTATGACATGCTTAAGAAAATAAAATGCTGTTTCGCAATTCAGGTACATTAACGTTGCCTGAAAGTCCTAAGACCCCAGAAGGAATTCGAGCTCGAATTTTCCTGACTGTTATGGCTTTCTTCATGACACTTTACACTCTCTTCCGCTCAGTAGCGTGCCATATTACTAGAAAGCTTCCTAACACAGTTTCTGATCATTGTCAAAATGTTATTGAACTTACCCCTGATGCAACTCAAAAGGAAGAGTTTCGCCCCCCTTCTCCAACCCCTCCTTTTACTCGGGCAGATCTTCTATCTTCTGTGCACAAGAGGTTGAGTGAGCTTGAGGAGAAAGTTGATACACTACAAGCGAAGCCATCTGAGATGCCTTGCGAGAAAGAGGAGTTGTTGAATGCCGCTGTATGTCGTGTTGATGCCCTAGAAGCAGAGCTAATTGCTACCAAGAAGGTACTGTTGGCAATCTTAATTTTGTCATTATTTGGAAAATATTGTCCATATTTCTGTTAGAACTCCCTGAACCCTTTTGGGTGAGTAGGTAATTCAGACGTGTAGTACCAGAGTGACAAATATCTCAGCTTTGTTGCTTTATTTGTGAATTGTTTACATGGCCTACAAAAAGCATTAAATACTATTTTCATTGAAGAATCTGATACTGCTAACAACATTACATTCTGCATTAGTGCATAATTATTAATAAATCTCCTCTGGAAATTGGATTTATTACCTGTAATAGATGTGGGAATGTTAACTAAAGAACCCCAAGACTTTAGGCTAACTGGCTTTCCAGGCTGCATATATTTTCTAGAAATCTCAATTTCCTCTAGGAGAATATTTTCTGTCAACTGATTAATTACTTATTTTGGCATAGTTGCAAGCCTTTAGATTCTTGCAGTTATGGTCTTTCTTACATTCGTTTCTTTTGTATGTGCTGTATTGAATAGGCTCTTCATGAAGCTTTGATGAGGCAAGAAGAATTGCTTGCTTACATAGACAGTCAAGAGGAAGCCAAACTGCGGGTATGTCAATTTCATTGGTTTTCCTATTGTTTATGTACATTACCTAGATGTTTGTATTTTTGGATGTTAATTCCGTGTTATGATTGTGACTGATATTCCTCTGTTTCAGAAAAAGAAGTTTTGCTGGTGATATGCTTTGCTGATGGAGAGACTACAAAATTACTTACTGTTTTGAGTTCCTTGCTGATCGTGCAATGTAATTGTCTATCTTAGCACGATTCCTATTGCCCATAAATGCACAAGAACCATAATGGAACTGTCTTTCGGTGGGCTCATTTCATTTCCCTTCTCGGTTTGCATGTAATGTTTGAAATTGCTGCACTTAAGTAAAAGCGTTTTCACATATACGTTGCTTTTGGAACTTTGTTGTCAAAAGTTTGGTTTGCTGAGTTTTAAAAACTTTTTATATCATGATTTCCTTACTTTGTAAGTTCCCCAATTGGTACATGGCTTTGGATGTCAAAACTTGGTTTTGAAGGGTTTAGTGTTCGATATACAATTATATACGATACTAGCTGTTTACCACAAAAATCCGACAATCATAAAAAACCAAAATGTTAAAGAACCAATTACAACGGGCCTTAACAGATTTTCCAATACAAGAAACTTACCTGGCTCTCTCCGAATGATGGAAAAAACAAAGTGAAAAGAAAGAAAATGGAATGATATTAAAAAGATGAACTGCATTAGTAGGTTATATTTACAGAGATTTTCGATGGTAATCTTGTTGGTACTAGGTTATAAACACTGCCTGATGTTTGAAGCTTAGATCTCAGAATATATTACCATTCTCCTCTGTGGCCAAAGCTTCACCCTTCTTACCACATTTTAAACTATAGCAGAGCGTTACAACCAGCATAAGCCAAGACCACCATTGCTCTAAATTTGAGCCAATAATTGCTCGACATATACACAAAATTCAAGAAAAATGCCAAACTCCATGGTTTACGGGGTCTTGCAATCGAATGTTTTACAAAGCAAAACAATATATGAAAGGAATTCATTTGTGGGGCTGAATATCACGAAGGCCACCAACATCAAGTTCACATTACCACCGGAATGGGTTCTGCAATCACAATCCAAGAAAATGAAAAGTGAAAAACAACCTCAATATGCAACTAAAGTTTGCTTGATCTTAACTATTGAAGCAGTAAAAACTTTGGTAACTTACAAACTTCTTCCTCTTTCTCTTCTTGTCAATGTAGGTTTGAAGCTCCTGCTGTTTATCAAAGGCTTCCTCAAGTGCCTGGAAGAAAGGAAGCAAACAAATAAAATTCAGAGACAGTGACAAATACATGCTCTTCCTTGGATACTTCAGGATTTGGGGTTAAGGTAACCAAGCTGTAAGTATTACCTTCTTAGCTGCGGATAGCTCTTCTTCCAGGATGCAGACCCTGCTTAAAGCAGCATCCAGCATCTCCTCTTTCTCAGGTGGCATGGCTGCTGGTTTTACGATGAGGATATTCACCTTCTCTTCCAACTCAGCCATGCGTTTCATCATGGAAAAGTAATCAGAACTAGTGATAGGTGGTGGCAACTGAGAGGCATGGCCTGTGATCATTGGGTTAGCATAGTAAACTTGACCACCATACAAGGCAGCTTCACTTAGTTTCCTGGGAATGCTGCGGGACAAGCGAACCATGGTTACAATTCCCATAACGAAAGCCATGATTCCTCCAAAAATGTTGGTGCCCATTCCTTCAGTAGCCCTCCCATCATCCTTCACAAGGTAACAATCTGCTGTTTTGGGAGAAAAAGTGGCGAAATAAATGTTGTTACAAATTCTCAAACTACAGAAAATTTGTATGGATGCAAAATCACCTTAAAACATTAGATTCATCTACTGATGGAATGTCATTTGGTAGCAATGGAAATAAAGTTTTAAGGAATTAACCTTTGGATATGGCAAAATTTTCATCTACCCCTGTTTTAGTCCAGGAAGCATCCATACCCTTGTCAACTATTGGGATAAATTTGTCATCAGCAAAGGAATTCTGGCACTTTTTCTTGATGGGAGACTGCAATATATAAAGACGTGTACTTATGTTAACACATGGGCTTAAGATTGACAGAAAACGTGAAAAGCCGAAACTGCAACATAAAATATCCTGTTTGATTATTTACAAAAATTGCAGTGCAGTTATCAGTTTACAACTTTGTGAAAAACTTACTTCGGCAACAGGAGAGAGTGGTGAAACATCAAAGAAGGACTCTTCAGCAGTGTCCATAGCTGTTTCTGTGTCGAAGGAATGACTCTTCATGTCCTAAACATCAAAGAAAAAGTTAGGCGTTCAATTTGTGGATACTAGATATAGCGGCCTGGGATAATTTGTGAAAATTGAAATGGCAGAGCCTTGGTTAGTAGTGACTACCTCTAGGCATACTTTCTCCTCAACGCCTGACATATTTCTCCTTGTGCACTTGGCCTCACCATTTTGAACTCTCTGCTTATAAATGTGTATTACTCCATTTTATTATTCCAAGAATAATGCAAAATATACCAAAAATCAATCAATCTTCAGGTGAATACCTTTAATATTCCTGGATCGTTCCATGGACCCTTGTCAGAAAGCATGCAGCCGCCTTTGTCAGCACAATTGCAGCTGCCACCCAAAAACTCTGGCAGTTCACTGTTGGAAAACCACAACAAAGAAATGTTTCAAGTATAGAAAGTTTGAAATGCATGGCGCATTTATTTGTCCGAACAACACAAACTGATGAGGAATTAGACTGGTTAGTTTTGGTAGAAGGAAACTGCAATGGATTCAATTGGTCTAGAGGAGACTCACTTTGCATCAATTACTTCAAGCAATTTGCTCTGATATTTGTTACCCAAAACCTGGTGAATATAACATAAAGTTGTTTAGCAACATTATAGTATCAAAATCAAATCTAGTTTCAGGTAAATTGGTGATTCATACTTACATGGATTTTTGCAGTGGTCTTTGGGTCAAGGAACGATTTAACTGTGTTCCATAAGAGTCTAAATCCAGAACCAGCATTGATGATAAACATGCGGTTCAGAGTCTGCAATGTAGAAAGCATTCATTTAGCTTCATCTTGACTGAAAAACTTTCATCCTAGAGCTTATGGAGTAATGACTACCTCGGGATAATTGTCACCATCAATCTTCTGAAGGCGCTGAAGGAGCTCTCTTGCAGTCTTGTTGAAGCTTTTAAACCCCTGAAAGTTCATTTATGATGGCATTAGAAGTACAATGAAGCAAATTTGGAGAAAAAAAAATATAAATCTACTCAAGTTGAGAACATATATAAGCAGCAAATCTCACATACCACTCCTTCCACATCTAATATGGTTGTGCTCTGATCAATGTGCTTTTTTGCTAAAATTGATGCAGCAGGAAACTTAATAGCAAAGGTCTTCTCAAACTCCTTTACATGGTACTTCAGATAACGGTCTATTGTTGTTACTTGAGTTAGCTTGTTTGCATCAACTTGTCCAAGTCTTTCAATATAAACAGGTCGTCCATCCTTATCAACTCCATGATATCCTTGCGGATAGTACTTGACCACTTCGTCGTATTCCTTGAAATCAAAGTCCTTAACAAAGAATCCGAAAGAAGAAATTTCAGATCTTGCAAATTAGAAAGTTGCACCATATAGTGTGTTAATCAATATATATACCTCCATGATTGTGTCAGCACCAAAATCCTTCCTCCACTGGAGCATATCAGCCCACATTTGCTTTGCTTTCTCAAGATCAAATTTCCTGGCCCTCAGAAATCTGTACCATTAAATAATGCGTTAATGACGATTCATATTAAAATTACTGCATTTAGGTTAACATTTTCTGTCATCTAAAATTTGACTTTAATGCTTGTGCATTAAACTTTATCTTTGTCCGAATCAGTGACAAATGAATGAAAGATTGTCACCTTAGCATCATATGATGATCATCATGTTTAGCAGGTAGTAGTTCATCTAAGATAAGTGCTTGACGGAATGCATCCACTGCCTGTAGCTCTTCAGCATCAACGTTATCCTCAATACTGGCAACCGACAGAACTCTGCTATGTCTCCTCATCTTTTTAAGAGAATGTCTAAACTTGCTTGAGGCACTGATTGCCTTTTTCTTAAGAGACCCAAGTCTTCTCTTCCTCTCATCCTCAGAGTTGTCTACATCAGATTTTTCAAGACCTGTAAACATGGGAAGGAAAGCCTTTTTCTGTTGAGTTCAGTTATATCTTGACATTAGCCATAATCAGTATCTTATATGCATCTAAATCCAACATTAGTATATATGAATCAAAGAATGATTGGAAAAAGCTGCAATGTTTGTAGAAGACTCACCCATTCTAACTTGTCGTTCAACAGGTAGAGACAAAGTGTCAGCCGTGATTACAACCTTGCAATGTCGTTCAGCGCCTGGTTAAAAAAGGGCAGCAGGTTCAAACACTAGAACTCATACAAAGATGTTCAAAACTATGCCCTAGCTAACTAGGCTTAAACCTGTAACCACATCTGAAAATAAGCCAATGAAATCAAAGGAAATAACATGTCTTCTAAGATATTCTACAAAACATTTGAAATTAAAACGAGAATGCAAAGGGTTGTCATGTTTGCACGTGTAAAGATCAAAACATCAATAAACCATGATCACATATACCTATCAAAATTGAAAAAAAAAATGTATATGCACGATGTGCAATTGTAAGGGGGATTGAAGTCAAAACTCAAAACCTATGTCTATGGAGGATCAAAAAGATAAGAAGTTTGAACCATAAATGAAGATCCAATGACAGAAAATTTTGTGCAAGATGGAAGAAAAAGAGACAAGAGATCATACCATATGAGAGGAGCCTGAAGGCGAATAGAGAGGGAGAGGTGTATATATCACCCGAATAAATCTCTTGAACAGGTGGCTCTTAGAGATGTCTATAAAAGACGGGCATATTGATATTGACAGATTTAGTTCTTCTGAAGATAGATTCTTTTAACATTTACTAATCTTGACATGTTCTAATGAACCTACAATTTTTTTCTTAGAGTTTTTGTTGAAGGGAGTTACGTAGTGTAGCTATATGCATTCCACTCCATTCAAACTTTTTAACAGTCTCGTATCTTTAACTAATTTATCAACAAACTCCATCATTTTCCGAACAAAATTTGTTACATACAAAGAAGGTCACAATCTAAAGATAGACAGAGTTGCCAAATGCCGATGCTAGGTCCTATTTTCTTTCATTAGTCACTTATATTTAGCACGAACAACCTGATTTATACATATTTAATTGGGACCTATTTTGAAACAACCGAATATATACATGAGTTAACATCTTATTCTATACGAATTATTCCTTTCACATGAACCTTCTGATTTGAAAAAACAGTGAGATCCCAAACAGGAGTATAGGCATGGGAGTTTGGGTTTGTCAATGTCTCAATGAATAGCAAATAAAACTTGCATATAGTTGCTGTTAAGTTTAATTTCGTATGCTATTGTTTATTCATAATGGCTAGTTTCAAAGTTGAATTATCAACGCTTCTTCAGCCAAATCGTCCACTATTAAAAATTTCACCAGGAATATTGGGGTTGAACTTGAATTTAACTTCGGATTGTGGAGACATTTCAGAATCATTTTTGTTTATGTAATTAACTAATTTTCGTATTATCCAGAATCAGTTGGTTGTTGAAGTTTGGAGAAGAAAGTCAATCTGCTTAAACGAGTGGTGCTCCACTAAGAATTGCTCTAATGTTCTTTCTATTGCTTAGTGCTAACTTCCATTCTTTTCATTTTTCTTAATTATCATCCTTATATTTCACCCTTGGAAACAATAAAAACAAAAGAAAAGCCAACTATTGAAAAGATTATGTCAATTTTATTTTTTTAATACATAAAAATTTAGGATGAAAAAAATTATCACATTTCAAGTTCAAAATATATTACGAATTTCTTTAAGAGCTTGCATAAGACCTATAAAAGAATTGCAATGAAAATTAAGTTTTAAAATCAATTTGATCCTTATCAACTCTCATAAGTTAAATATGTGCTGATGAATAATGAATAGAGAAGATATAATAATACTATGAATGACCCCGTATCGAACACAGTGGTTTAACATTGTTGAATGTCAACTTTATATTAATCTACTCAGAAAGCTACAAAGTCATTCAAAGGACAACCTCGTATTCAGGTTTTTGGGCAAATATTCTTTGATCATCTAGCAGACTAGCACTGGGAGACTACTTGTGAATCATGACTCCAATATTTTAATTTTAAAAAATTTTGCCAATTGGACAGAAGGAGATTTAAAAGGATCATGATGATTTTTCTTGTTTTGACAGATGCTTAAAGGAAAAACAAAAATAGAAAGAGCTTCGAGCCCAACACTTCAACTAAACTGCATGTGTAATAACCAAGTACTCCTCCTGGGTTGTCATGGACAAAGATTTATGCAAAGGCAGGCATAGCCCACTTTTTGTATATAGCCCAACCTTGGGTCTTAGGAGGAGCCTCTTTTTTAATCATAGTGGGAGCATTATGGAAATGCCCTAATCTTGAAATGAGTCCCTCACAGTGAAATTGGAAAACATTTTTCTTTAATTGAGGGACACGTTTCAATTTTCCAAATCTTTTTCAGCGGTAACCCTTTCTAGTTTCTACATTATAAAAGGATTCCCTTTACTCTTCAACAGTCAACAAACGCATACTGCTGCATCTGCATCATCAATGGCAGCTACTCACCTTTTCCCTCATTCCCCATCTCTTCCTAAAACCCTGAACCACCCTCTAACCCAAAAGCCATTTTCCCAACTATCCATTTTGCCCTTCATACCCGCCAAAAATCTCTTCAAACGCCAGTTTCTTTCTCTCAAAGCTGTCCTCTCCCAAAACCCTGCTAAAACCCTGACGTTTCAACACTGCTTCACAAAATCCCCAGATGGGTTTCTCTACTGTGAGGATACCAAGGTTCAGGACATCATGGAAAAGGTCGAAAAGAGGCCGTTTTATTTGTACAGTAAGCCTCAGATTACTAGGAATGTGGAAGCTTATAAGGAGGCTCTTGAGGGTTTGAAAAGTTCGATTATTGGGTACGCGATTAAGGCCAATAACAATTTGAAGATTTTGCAGCATTTGAGGAAGTTGGGTTGCGGTGCTGTGCTTGTCAGTGGCAATGAACTCAAGTTGGCTCTTCGTGCCGGCTTCGATCCAACTAAGTAAATTTCTTACATTGACCAATGCTTAGTTTTGCTTCTCATTTCGATTTTGTTTATATTTTTGTCAGCCACTTGCTTCTTCTTCGCATTTGGGTACGAAAGTAAATAACTTTTTCAAAGATGTAATCAAAAGGTTAAGTTTTGTGACTAAATGTGTTATTTTTCTTTTATATTGAGCAATTGTGTCTAAATGTGCATTGCATTTTAATTACTGTTTATTTTTTATTGATTTTGCATGGAAGCAAATAGCTAATAGTAATAAAAAGCAAGTAACAAAAGCAACATCCAAACAAAGTTGGTTGTTCATTTGTTTGAATAGTTAGCCAGGTGGTATTCTGAATCTTGTCAAATTGTTTAGAGGAATGTTATACTATCGAAAGGAGTTCCTTTGCTCCTGATGGCCCTGCTAGAGTAGAGTTCTAGGAGGGGTTATCTGGATATGGTTTCACCTTTTGACAATTTTGCATAAAGTAACAGCTTTAAAAATTGTAGGTATGTTCTTATGCTTGTTAGTGCTAGACTTTTTAACTATACACCATAATGCATCTGTCATTACAATTGCATATGATATTTAATGCATCTATCTTGCTCAAAGATGTCCCAGGTTATGTTATGTTAAATTAGTTTGTTATTATTTTAGTAGGAATGATTTGGTGGTTCTTGTTAACTGTTTATTTGGTTTGATTGGTATTGATACCTAAATGTACAGGTGTATATTTAATGGGAATGGTAAGATCTTGGAGGATTTGGTACTAGCTGCCCAAGAAGGTGTTTTTGTGAATGTGGATAGTGAGTTTGATCTGGAGAATATTGTAGCAGCTGCAAGAATTGCTGGCAGGAAGGTTAATGTTTTGCTTCGGATCAACCCAGATGTGGATCCTGAGGTAATGCAGTATTTTTACTATTAAGTGTTAACCATCAGGACATTGTAATGTATATGATTTAAAAATTTTAATTTTATATTGAAGCTGATAACTTTTGAGAACTAAATTGATTAAACTTGATTTTGAGTTGACATTAGCAAATATAGGTAACTATAAAATGGTGTAAAACAAAATGGAACTTGCTTTGTAGTGTAGTTATTATGTGGCACGGTTCTTGTCTTGTCCCTTAAAACCATTAGACTGAAAAATATGATACATGGTGACCTAGTTGATATGTTTTATATGGCTTTCTTATAGTAAATATTGGTTTATTCAAGTGTGATCAACAGAAATTTCATCCATTTTTAGGACAACCAACATACCTTAATAGCCTCTATTACTCAATCTCCATTTCAATGATGGCTCTCTCACCATTAAACCACCTCATGTCTGCCTTTTTATTCCAATTTTTTTTTGGGCACCAGTTCAGCTACCTCAAGAACCAGATTATTGTTCCTTAGCTTGAAATCATCCTACTTCTCTCCATTCACTATTTTCAAGTTGATGATCCATGATAGGAAGGCTAGTAGATTTATTCAAGATAATAGGTTTTTGGTTATGCAACTTAAACCTAGCATTGAGGATTACCTAAATTCAAGGAGAAGGCACTGTAAACATCAGAGAAGGCCCTTAAAGATTTTAAGATTTAAGAGATACTAGGAGCAAGGTTTTTATCTGATTTTTATATTTATGTTTTAAATGACTTTGCTATTACTCTGTAGGTTCATCCATATGTTGCTACTGGGAACAAGAACTCTAAATTTGGTATTAGGAATGAGAAGCTGCAATGGTTTCTGGATGCTGTAAAGGCACACCCTAATGAGCTGAAGCTAGTGGGGGCCCATTGTCATCTTGGTTCAACCATTACCAAGGTATCTCAACGACATTATGTTTATTTGATTAACTTTCTGCTAGTTAGATCTGGTAAGAGAGAAATTTTGAGGGCAGGTTTCACAGTGGTTAACCAATACTTTTCTGATGATCAAGTTGACTGATTCTAGATCAACTAGGTTTTCTGTAAAAGTTGTTTCCAAGATCTTCTTATCACTCCTATTTGCTTATTTTCTGTATTCAACATTATTGTTTGTCTTTATCTAGTTGACGAATTGCACATCAGTGCTATTGCTTCTCATGCAAGTGTAATTTGAAGCCCTCATGTAATGTTGTCCAGGTGGATATATTTAGGGATGCTGCAGTTCTTATGGTCAACTACGTCGATGAAATCCGTGCCCAAGGTTTTGAAGTTGATTATTTGAACATTGGAGGTGGTTTGGGGATAGATTACTACCATACTGGCGCTGTCCTTCCCACACCTAGAGATCTCATTGACACTGTAAGGCTCAAACTTCTAAATCTTGCAAATTGTTGTCATGATATCTGTGGCTTATTCATCAGCTTGTATAAAGTTACTTTATACAATAAAATAACCAGTCATATACTTTCTAGTATAGAATGTCTTTCATGTTTGAATAAAACGCTATGGTACATACCATGGCCATCATCTTTGTTCGACCTATCTGAAGCATCAATATTTATATGCTGGGAGTGTTAATTTTGACTAATATTATTGTTCTTTGTCTTTCTTGGTGGTTTAGGTGAGAGAATTGGTCCTTTCAAGAAACCTTAATCTCATCATTGAACCAGGGAGATCACTTATTGCAAATACTTGCTGCTTAGTCAATCGTGTCACCGGAGTCAAAACCAATGGAACAAAAAATTTCATTGTGATTGATGGCAGTATGGCTGAACTTATCCGTCCTAGTCTTTATGATGCTTACCAAGTAAGTATTAGCAAACCATTTCCATCATGCAGAATATTTCTAAAGATATGTATGCTAGTCATGCAAGTCAAATTTCATTTTGCTTTTCTTTTTCTGAATCATGCATTTATATCCCTACAGTCTCAATGAACCTATTCATATTTGATTTCAGCATATAGAGCTGGTTTCTCCTGCACCTCCTGATGCAGAAGTTTCTACTTTCGATGTCGTTGGCCCTGTTTGTGAGTCTGCAGATTTCTTGGGAAAAGAGAGAGAACTTCCAACCCCAACTAAGGTATTGAGTTTTATCTATAATGGGATGTTTGGAGCATCAATCATTTAAGATTGTATTATCAGGATTTTTACTTTTGTAGGGGACTGGCCTGGTTGTGCATGATGCGGGTGCTTACTGCATGAGCATGGCATCAACTTACAATCTCAAGATGCGCCCTCCTGAGTACTGGGTAACAAACTTTTAATCTTGATTATATTTAGGGCAACTAGTTTTATTAAATTTGTTAAATGAAAATCTCTGCATCATAAGCATGACTCACTACACAACTGTGATAGCAAACAGTTGTTAATTTCCATAGAAAAAGATAAATGGGAATTTCGAACTAATCTTTTCAGGTTGAAGAAGATGGATCGGTGACCAAGATCCGGCATGGGGAGACTTTTGAAGACCACATGAGGTTTTTTGAGGGTCTTTAATTTGATTAAAACACCAAAGCCTGTTTGATGCTCGAAATTGGACCTGGTTTTGCATTTGTCATGGATATGTTATGTTTTTGAATTTTCATTTAATTAGCTGCTGAATTTGGTATGATTTTATTTTCTAGGCATTTGAAACTTGCACAAAAATTAAATAGATGAAATCAATGTCCCCTCCCCCGTGTCTCTGATGGCCACTTCTAGTCCAACTACAGTCTTTTGACTAGGTTCCTTATGGTTAACCAAAAGAAACAAAAGGATTAGGATTTCAAATAAGACCACTGGCTTGGAGATGGATGGCCCATGGTGTGGGGGCTTGAGCTACTTGATTTGCATGTTTCTGTTTCAGGCCTCATGGGATGCTTAACTGGAAACCAAATCACCACCTTATGTTTTTTTTTCAATATAATGATTGGATTTTTCCCTGTTTGATAGTGTTGATTTTGTCAGATGCTGCACATTGTGAATGCAGTGAAAGCTACAATTTTTGGAAATGATGGCATACCAAACGCATGAAATACCAAATAACTTGTCAGTTTGTGTTGAAATCATGCATTCAAATTATTTCATCTTCCAGAGGCCAAAGCTTTATTATTGCAAGCGGAGAAAAATCATTCGAAAAAAAAATCAATCACATTTCATGACATAAGCAAGAGGAGAAAAAAGAAACCGATTTCAAGTGCAGAGAAAGAAAAACAAATGATTAAATGATCCACTTTGATTGACAGTGACTATTTATTGAAATTGAAACACATTAATGCTTTAGTTGGCTTGTCAATTCTTCAACATATTAAAAAAAAACTGATTAGATGTGTGGGGCAGCACCCGCAACCCAGACTTTATGCCACAGATTGTATGTCCAAGCAATTTATCCAGATTGACCTTGAATGTCTGTATTTTCATTTTACTTGAATGTTATTTCTTTTTGCCAAATACGTTGAGGTAAAATTTATTCAAAAATTAAAAAATTTTCTCTATTTTACTTTTAAAAAAATAAAATAAAATAACTAGTTTAATCTTGTATGTATGGTCAAATAATACTGGGTATATTATTTAATAAATTTAAAAATTTATTTATTTTTAAATTGTGATTTTTTATAAAAGAAATGAAGGAACGTTGGTGAGTCATGGGTAAAAAAAAAATGTAAATTGATAAATTATAAAAATAAAATACATAGATGGATCACGGGTGAAAGAAATAATAGATGTAAGTGGATAAGTTATCGATGAATTGGTAGCTTAATAATATTGAAATTGCTTTTAAATTTAAAAGTTTTGAGATTGAATTTTATAATACATAAAAAAAAAAATTATCTCACCCAAATATCGCATCATTTGAGAGATGGTGACACGGACGGCTGAGATTGCATTTACAAGAATCATCAGCTTAACTCTACTCTTCGTGTTGGAGTAACCAAGACGTGCAAGCTATTGCGTAAGCTAATCTTCGTTAACCACCGAAGCTAAACGACACTGACAGTATCTACCGATCGCTGCCAAGTGGATGGTCATGATGCAATGGAAAGTCCCAATATAAGGATGACAAGTGGCAGATCATAATTTGCTGGTTCTGGATTTTCCCGCCTTCCGGCCTGAGCATTCTGCTTTGGGTGTTCATTATTCCTCTTTTTTCTCCTTTGCTTGTACTCTTTATGATTGGCCGTTTCGTACGGTCTTGGGTCATACCTTAGTTTCAAATTACACATTTACCCCTTATTATTGCCTTACCTTAATGCTTCATACAAAAGAAACTATCACATTTTGATTTTTGTTAGTAAAAAAATTTCAACTTTAACATTCTAAATTTTTTTATTTATTATTAAAAATGTAAAAAATTAATTTAAAAGTTTTTAATGAAAATTTTGTATATACTTTATACAATTTAGTTGAATAAAATAATAAATAATAAGTTAAAATAATAAAAATTATAAAAGCTAATAATTGAATTATAATTTTTTAATATTTACATTTAAAAAAAATATTTAAATTAAAAAATTTGACAAAATGAAAAATAAATAATTTATTGAAAACGACAAAACGGTAAATAAGAGCGAAAGTGGTGGCAATTGACATGATAAAATTCTCATTTAGTCATTTTCTATCCATTTCCGTATTTAATTCATGAGATAAGATAATTTTAAATAAAAAATATTTTTTTTATTATTAATCGTAGTATTAAATTAAATCACAGAGAAACTAAAACCCATCGGCAGCACTCCGCGTCGAACTGGTTTTGGATTTTTGGCGTCTCTTTTCTATTTCTCTAAAAAAAAAAAACGAGGACGAAGAAGAAGAAAAAGAAACCGTAATTTCTATGTATTTGTTTTCTGTTAGTATAAGTAGAAGCTTACGCGGTTGCTGATCGAAGATTGTGTGTTTCCGTCTCAGATCTGTTGGTAACTTATTCGCATTTCCTTTTTTTTTTAAATATTATTTTTTATTTGGATACCTATTTTTAAAATTTGGTGTCAGAGAGCTGGTTTGATTTGCCTGGTTCCATGAATGTTTGGTAGAAGAGCAATTATTTATGAGTTTTGTTCGTTTTTAATTTTTTTGACCTTCGAATTTACTCTGGATATTGCCCTCGTTATTTGTTAGAAATGTTTATGAATTTTTCCCTTTGTTTTTCTTGAAAAAATAACCGTTCTCTTTTTTTTTTTTAACTTTTTTTTATAATTAAAATTTTAGCTCCCTGACTCTCACATGCATCGAGAGTTCGATTACTCTTTGACCCTGAGATTTTTTTAAAAAAATTTTGGATGTGAATGTTTGGTTTTGTTTTGTTATAAGACGAGATTAATTTGTCAAAAAAAAAAGTGAGAGGCAAAAACTGAATTTTTGGGCTGATTTTAGTCACTCTATTACTTAACTGTTGTGTAAACAGGGTTGACTATAAAGGACATTGATTTTTCTTCTTCAGAATTTTTTATTGGAATTAGGTTACTTTGAGTAGTAAAAATGCTGGTAGATTCGAATGCTTGCAAGGCTTATTTCTGGATATTACTTGTATTGCCTTAAAGTCTTAATGTACATGTTTTTTTGTTTTGTATTTTTGACTTTACTCTTGTTTCTGACATAGATTCTATCTCACTTCCACAAAAAGTTGGCTGTGCGGTTTACTTTGGAAGCCTTTATCGATTTTTAGTTTGATTATGTCTGCTGAAACTACGATGAGTATTCCAAATGGAAATGGTAATTGCAATGTACAACCTGATCCACAGCGAACTTACCAAATTGTTGTGGCTGCGACTAAAGATTTGGGTATTGGTAAGGATGGGAAGTTACCTTGGAAATTGCCTTCTGATCTCAAATTCTTCAAAGATGTCACTCTGACTACATCAGATTCTGGGAAAAAGAATGCAGTCATAATGGGTAGAAAAACATGGGAAAGTATTCCTCTTCAGAATAGGCCTCTTCCAGGTCGTCTTAATGTTGTTCTGACTCGTTCTGGAAGTTTTGATATCGCAACTGCTGAGAATGTTGTTATATGTGGAAGCATGACATCCGCTTTGGAATTATTAGCTGCATCTCCTTATTGTCTTTCAATTGAGAAAGTCTTTGTCATAGGCGGTGGCCAGATATTTAGGTGCAGAACCTATTTTTTTAAATACTTTGCAAGAAATTTTGTTTCAGTCTTTTCCTCCCCCTCTTTTCTTATATGCACTTCTTTTTGATGCAGGGAATCCCTTAATGCACCTGGATGTGATGCTATTCACATTACAGAAATTGAGTCAAGCATTGAATGTGACACTTTTATGCCTGCCATTGATTACTCTGTATTCCAGCCATGGTATTCATCATTTCCTGTGGTGGAAAATAACATTCGATATTGCTTCACAACTTATGTTCGTGTGAGAGCCTCTGCAGTTGAACACCTCAGCCAGAACTGTGATCAGGTCCTTGATAATAAACCAGATACTGGTAAGTTTGAGGTAAAGACGTTCTCTTTCCTGCCCAGGATGATTTTTGAGAAACATGAGGAGTACTTGTACCTAAAAATGGTTCAAGACATTATCTCTGATGGTAATCTGAAGGATGACAGGACCGGAACTGGTACTTTATCAAAGTTTGGTTGCCAGGTAATTTGTAGCTCTTAATTATAGTCCTGTCTGTCTTGCTTGTAGAAATAGGTTTCCAGCTATCTTTTTTGGTTTCTAATTGCTGATATATATATTTTGTCTTGTCCACAGGTGCGGTTCAATTTGCGAAAAACTTTTCCACTTCTGACAACTAAGGCATGTACATTATTATTAGGTTTATTTAACAGTTTCATTGTAATGTTGTTCGTTCTTCTGTATATTATTTTGAATATTGATTAGATGGAGAAGTTGATTTGCATTAGTATGATTTGTCTGCAGAAAGTATTTTGGCGAGGTGTTGTTGAAGAGCTGCTTTGGTTCATCAGTGGTTCAACTAATGCTAAGGTTTTTATTTCTTGAACAACATGCTCCATTTACGTTGCTTTTTATGTTCCTTGGAATGAAGTTGGAGCTATTCTCCATTTTTTTCTCTTGATATTTTATTTGTTTCTCGTAGAGTCCATTTTAACATATTTCTATGTGCCTTCAAACTTTTTTGTTTGCCAAATGAACTGATTTGATTTACAGTATGGCCTACTAGGTTTTCTTTTGATATATCAGATCTGTTGACTAGAGTTTCGTCCTAAAATATTTGCGCAATTAACAGGTGCTTCAAGAAAAGGGCATTCATATATGGGATGGTAATGCATCCAGGGACTTTCTTGATAGGTATTATTTGAGTCTTTTGCTATCAAATTCATGTTGTTTTCCCTGTTGTTACTAACTTGCCTTTGAATTGCAATCTCAGTATTGGGTTGACTAATAGGGAGGAGGGTGACTTGGGACCTGTGTATGGTTTCCAGTGGAGACATTTTGGTGCTAGGTTGGTAGATTTTTACTTTGTATATGCTTCGCTGGCCAATCATATTTCTGCAATGATGTTTTACTTCATTTGCCTTGTATATGATATTTTCCAGCTATACTGACATGCATGCTGACTACACTGGACAAGGATTTGATCAGTTGTTAGATGTTATTGACAAGATCAAGAATAATCCGAATGATAGAAGGATTATACTCTCAGCTTGGAATCCTTCTGATCTAAAACTGATGGTGCTTCCACCTTGTCACATGTTTGCTCAGGTTAGTATCAAGTAGTGACCTTATGTCTCACTCTTTATTTTGTACTTAAATTAATCCTTTATATGAATGTTTGCAGTTCTATGTAGCCAATGGGGAGCTATCATGTCAAATGTATCAGCGCTCTTGTGACATGGGCTTGGGCGTGCCATTTAACATTGCATCTTATGCTCTTCTGACGTGCATGATTGCTCATGTTTGTGGTATGTTGCCATTGAGGCAAATACTATGTTTATGTGTGATTGAATTGCTGGAATGAATCATATTAGATCGTATCTGTAATTTTTCTTTTACCAATTAATGGCTGAAGGTGTGGCTTTGGTACCACATCTGTTAGTGAATTATGGTGAGCTGGTGTGTATCAGTGCACAGATGCCTTCACCATTTAATAGATTCATTATGCTGGCAGAGGCTCCTAAATTTTGCTGGAAGAAGCAATACTGACTATGCCAGAGCTTCTTTCTACATAGATTAGATTAATGGTTTTCACTTCTCCTGGACAGCAAAATCCTATGATTTTAAGAACATATCTTAATTTTTTTATTTTGTACAGGTCTTGTTCCAGGTGATTTCGTCCATGTGCTTGGTGATACTCATGTTTATAGCACTCATGTCAGGCCCCTGCAGGAGCAACTTCAGAAACTGCCAAAGCCTTTTCCAGTGAGTATAGTGTATTAATTTTAAAACGATGCAGAAGTATTCTCCCCACCTACCTCATTTCTTCTAGAGAATTTTCTTACCATATTGAAATGCAGATTTTGAAGATCAATCCCAAGAAAAAGAATATAGATTCCTTTGTAGCATCTGATTTCGAGCTCATAGGCTACGATCCTCATGAGAAAATAGAGATGAAAATGGCTGTATAGAGCTCTATTTTAGGTTGAGTAAACTCAGAAGCTCCAGTCCAATTTTAGGCAGCATATGCTCACTTTGAGGTAAATTCATGATCCTACAATTGTGGTTTTGGTGATTAGTTTTATCCAACCTGTCTTTAGTAATCCATAATTATGTTTTGCATGAAACTGTAAAGTAATTTAGGTTAAAGTAGTTTATGGTGAGAGCTGGATGCTTGGAGCTCTATGTAGTTGGTAGGCATCCTTGCTAAGTTGTCATGCAGATGCTCTGCTTTCTGCCACTTGTTGGTACTTCTCTTTTGGGTAAAACCATTGTATTGGTAATGTGTGCATATAATTTTTTAGCATTGGAGGTGCAAAATCAAATGATGTACAAGTTGTTGTTGGCAATAGAATGCTTTATCCCCCAAGCAAATTATTGGCGAAGTTGTACACCATAGGAAAAAGGTCACTGCTATAGATAGGGCTCGTGCATGCTAACATTTGTTGAGCAAATAGTTTCATTCAATGGGCCCTCAGCATACGACTTGCACAACATGGAATTTTCTTTCCAGTTACATGGATTTTACTCTGTGGGACTGATTATTTGTTTTGGTATAATATTTCAGGGCCAGCTACTGGATGGCTTATGTTGATGTAGAGACTTGTATTATTAGCAAAGTAAAAATTTGCTAGTTGGATGGAATTCAAGGATGATATGTTGTCAAGTGAGAATCCTTTAGTTCCACATTATTGTTGGTGGTTCTAAGGTGATTTAGGATACTGTATTTTCTTTTTGTGAAGTTATTACTATCATTTTTTTTTGGTCTTATGTCTTGCTTTCTGAATTGGCTAACATATTCTTTAAAGAGATTAAAATTTGGAAGACGGAGTTCTTTCAGCGAAAGTGATGGACTTGGTAACATCGTTTTGTTGTACCGAATGATAAGTGTTTGTTGGTTGCCCTTATCTTGGTCTCACCTTGTTTCTCCTATAGCTTTCCCCCACCTTCTGCTGCTTGAAATACTACTACTGACTGCGATTCAGTAGCTTCAGCTTCCTGAACTCCCTCTAGCTTGGCCTCAAGAAACTCGATGAGACCTCTTAGCACAATATCAGGCACCTCATCTTTCATCAGTTGCTCACCTACTTCTGCAGGGGTCACCTTTGTTATCTCTAGCAATTCCTCAATCTCTAAGAAAAGTGGGTGCTTTGGTATCCCGAGGTAGTTTGAAGCCAGCATTTTGAACCCACAAGGAGTGCAGTAAGACATGTGGATGTGCACGTCCATTCGACCAGGGCGCAGTAAAGCTGGGTCAAGCCGGTCCTTGTGATTGGTTGTGAACACTATAATCCTTTCATCTCCACAGCTTGACCATAACCCATCCAAGAAGTTCAGCAATCCTGACAGAGTCAACTGATACTGAAAGAAAGCAAATTGCGAATCTGTGGGTTCCAATGAGTTCATTTCGGTTCTCAATGCAAAAATCCACATCGAGAAGACTCGATCAAAATTCATTGCCTAACTATCATAATCAAATGCTGCAGTACTCATAAGAGGCAAGAAGAAATTTCCCCTCAAGAATAAGTTTGGTTCGACAAAATTTATAAATTTTCTTCAGGAATTTTGATGGTGGGTATCTGCTATATGTTATGTTTTGCCAGTACATAATTCTTGCTTTAACCTACTATCCTACTGCTATGTAGATTTTGAGAAAAGCTTCTATATGAATTTTCATGGTATAACTATGAACTTAGATTTGCTATGATAAAATTAAGGGTTAGTATTTTGGCAATGCAATATAGTGTTCTAAAATAGTTACCTGAGGTAATTGATTATGTCTATGAGAACCTTGGGACGTCGCAGCCCTTGCTTGAGCAAGCCTATCCTGCAACTCCAAAGAACAATCAATATCCTCCACAACCAGTATTGATTTATTTCCAGTTGAAATCAGCACCTTCCTCAGCTCTGAATTCCTTCTGATATCAGTCAACTCCAAGTCATAAATATCAAAATTAAGATAGTTGGCCATGGCAGCAATCAAGCTTGACTTCCCTGTGCCAGGAGGCCCAAACAGCAAGTACCCCCTTTTCCAAGCCTTGCCTACCCTCTTATAATACTCCTTTCTTTTCATAAATTTATTCAAATCCTCCATTATTTTCTTCTTCAGCTCTGAATCCATTGCCAGGGTTTGAAATGTAGCCGGATGATCAAGATTCACTGAGTGCCACGTATCCCCTCTTTCTGTCATCTTATCATATTTCAAGGTATATAACTTCAAGGTCTTCTTTTTCTCCGTCAATTCGTTTGCTTTGGCCAATATATGCTGCATGTAAGTGTTCAACATCATTTCTTTATGTTTCTTGTGGAAACTTAGCTCGATGAGGCGAATCTTGGATTTAAGCACTGGTTTGTCAGGATCAGACCCAGGAATAGACTTGGAACGGTTATCTTTTAAAACAAACTTCCACTTCACTTGAACCCCATTAAAGTTATCAATGATTTCTTCATTCTTTTCAAGGGACAATGAAATCTTGCCTTCTTTTTTTGGCATGATTACTCTAATTCTCTTTGTGTTAGGTGGAATTGTGGACTCAAGATAGAGTTCTGCAGCCTTGTAAAGAAGGTTATGGTTGAGACCATCGTATTCTTCAATGACTAAAGTGAGCTCCGAAGAGAAAGAGACAAAGAGATTCTTGATTTTCAAGATAATGTAATCTCGGAGCTCTCGAGGAACGACATCTCTGACCAATGAGCGAACCAACATGGCAGTGGCGGCAACTGATGCAGCAGCTGGGAAGATGGCCTGGGCCGAAGCGACTTGGTTAGTAGCATTGAAAAAAATGGTGGGTTTTGGCACTATAGGCATTTTGTTCATTTTTTACAGAACAGAATGAAAAGAAGAAGGAAAAAAAAAGGGTTTACTGAATTTTAAGAGTAAAAAAAAAGAAACTGTGGGCTTTCATATGCTTGAATGTATGATCAAGAAATGGTGTTGTGACAATGTGAGTAGGAAAGAAGTGGAAAAAGTAGGAGACAACTTCCTTGTTATAAACGGTGGGTTTGGGCATTGTTTCCCGCACACTATTAACTTTGCCGACCAAATAAAAAGATCAAAGTGAGTTACCTAAAAGAAAAAAAATAAAATCAATTCACTAGTCAATCCAGAAACCAAGATTGAAGTTCACAGTCCAATCTTTTCTTAGCAATTCTAGTAATAGCTCGTGGCAAATGGCAATAGCTTTTCTTTTCACCTTACATATATCTGTCAAGATATTTCTCATCACTTTCCTCACCAATATGATAAGTAATATTTTAGTTATCGGTTTGGAAAATGGAAATTCTAATCAGCTTCCATTTAGTTTAGATTAAATTTTTAGTTAATCCTTGATAAATGCTTTTTTTTTTTTTTTATAAAATATCCCATTATAAAAATTAAAAAATTACATACGCTGAAATTTAAATTTAGACTTATTAAATGTTAAGAGTAATAATTTTTTTTAATAAAAAAGATCACGACCTAAATTAAAATTTTAATATTACAGATATTAAAATTTAAATTTTTTTTTTATTTATTGTTATGTTTTAAAATTAATAGCATAAATTAACTGAATTAATTAAATATCAAGTTCATTTTAATTTGTTTTTCGATATTATTAATCAAAGACAAAGATTGATTTTGCATCGGTGGGGAGGATATGAAGAGATTCGAGGGTAACTTTTTTTTTTTTTTCTGGTTGCTTTCTTGTTTTGCCTCTATGATGGCTTTCTCGAGCTACAATGGATTAAAATACACTTCGGCCAACCCAAAAGAAGTGATTACTTCTCTACGGACTGTTCTTTGTTCTGGTTGATGACAAAAACAAGAGTTTTGATTTTGACAGTAATTTCTGGATTTAGTAGGGAAAGCCGTCTTCGATTCGTCCCAAGATTATGCTTGGTCTACTTGGTTCGACCGGGGGGGGGGGGGGGGGGGGTGTTTAATACACATTGATACTTTGTTCTTCGGTTGTCATGCAAAACGATACAGAACAGGCTTTGTTTCGCAAAATTCACTTTCTTATGTAAACCAACATGTCTTAATCTAAATCCCACCATAAACAAAGTGCTCTTTTGACTCATAGGATCTAAATCTGATACCCTCAACCATCCTATGCCAAAAGAGCTCCTCTTGACTGTGTGCTTTGCTGCCAAAGCTTCTTCGGTTTCTCTCTGCCCATATCAGAGTAAAGATGGAAAATATTTTACTCTTATTTAAATTATCAACAATTCTTTGGTCAAAAGAACAAGGTTATCAACAATTTTCTTGGCGATGCATTGCGGCACAAAAAACACTAGATAGTGATTATTGCGTCGCGTTAGCAGCCGATGTATCTCCTTATAAGCTAATTTTCATTAATAGCGGCAACTTGAAGATGGTGCATGCTATTTATTATTCAAGTCATTTTTTGAAGATCATATAGGAGGGAGACTTGGAAAGAGGGTGGATCTTTAATCAATCATCGAAATTTTAATTTCTAACGTCACATTTCCCACGATTAATTTTTCTGGGTTTTCTTTAGAGAAACCCTAATCTGCCAGTTTAAAATAGTTGAAGATCAAAAGGCTGCCATTTTTATTACAATTTCAGTGTATGTCCTTCTTTGTCAAGGACATAACTATGTTAATATACTGACATTTATGTGCCTCCATGTACTCAAGGACAACCTCTTTAAACCTGCCAAACAAATCGTCCATGTTGTCTTCCCCAAAGTGGCTGGCTAATATGGGTTCACCAACCGCTCGAATGTCTTTAGCAATTATTGCTGCTCTTGCAGTCTTATCCAGGTTGCTGTCAGCTTTCTTTATGTAATCGTCCCAATCCAAATTGAAAGCCTCCAGTCTTTGCAGATTGAAGGATCCCTCAGCTTCTATCACGGTTTTAACTTCTTCTGTTGTAGCTGCATAGTATGGTAAGTCGAAAGACTCCAAATTTTTTTCTTCAATCAAGCCCTATGTGATCATTAATTAATTAACTCGTTATACATTATTTTCTCAGGACTGTCAGGGGTTATGTTCGATGAACTTACCATATAATAATAGACGTTTATGATAATACTTTGATTTACTTATATATTTTATTTAATACTTCATTAACAATGCGAGGTTGCTGTCAATAAAAATATGCAACTGGCCTATGGGAATAATCTACATACATATGAAATTGGTTAATTTGTACGTACCTCATTGACCATTTCTTGTAGTTTCAATCGGACAAATTCCCAGATGCTAAGGTGGTCATCACTCTTGATGCTGCCCTTGGTAGTTAGGACCATACGGCCGCCCGGGACTAGCTCATCGGCCCGACATCTCAGAAACAATGCGAAGTCTCTTTTGAATTGCTTCAAGTATGCTTCAAACACAGCAGGAGGGCTTTTTTTTGCAACGCAAATGTTTCCCTTGTTCAATGCTGATCCTGTTTCAGCAACCAATTCCTTTGGTGCCTAAATCAATGACTTCCTATTGTGAGGGATATTATATTTGCCAATACCTTTGACAATATGTTTCCTCGAAGGCTGACCTATATATATATATGTATTTATTAATTTTTTACTTATTGAACTCTATGGATTTTGAAAATTTGAGTTCATTCTATTTTATTTAATCACTTTAATAATGAATCTCACCCTAAATGGAAGAGGATAAATATAAATCTACCTGCCTTGGAGGTCCACATGATGGCATAGGAAGAATGAACAAAGTGCATGCAATTATGGGGAAAAAGTCTGCCATAGAAGGATCCAGGAGCTCCTGCTGTGAAGCACTTGCCAAACCTGTTTCCTTTCTCTTGCTCCAATCTCTCATAAAAACTTGGCAATGCACTTAAAAAAGGGTGTTGAAATCATTTCCAGGACGATCATTCAAGAATGCCTGTAAACATGGTGAGGTATGCTTTAAACTTTGGCATGTTTTTGTTGGAATATTGACTCAAATCCTATAAGAGATTTATTTGGGATTTGTTAGAGATTTGTTAGATATTGCTAGATGGACAAGAAGATTTGCAAAAGAAGAATTCTAAGAGAAAGAGGATTCTTAATAGGTAAGTTTGACTTGCAAGAAAAAAATTCTAAAAGGAAAGGGATTTTTAATAGGCAAGTTTGACTTACAGGAGAAGAATTCTAAAAGGAGAGGGATTCTTAATGGGTAACTTTCTATGGTTATAAATAGGTGAAGTCTCTACAGGGTTAGGTATGAGAAAAAGATGTAAGAGAGTTGTAGGGTTTTGTGGGATAGACACCCCATAAGAGTATTGGGGCTCTACGTCTTATGGGTGTGTATATTTATTTGTGAGTGGATTAGAGGAGACTGAGAGGGTCACATAGGTATGATGTATGTAAGCAATTATGGATAATTATGTTGGGTTATGTGAAAGGGCACAAGGGTTTTGAATTTATGTTGTTTGGGTGGAGAATACTCCATAGGCCTAGAGGAGATTAAGAGTATCTTATGAGTATTGATTGTTGAGTGAGGTTGATGATTTGATATATGTTTGTAATTCTGTATAATTAGTAGATCTTGTTTTTCATCCGTGGATGTAGGTTGATTGGATCGAACCACGTTAAATTGTTGTCTCTTGTGTGTTTAATTTATTGTTTGATTTTGCTTCCGCTGGTGTGATTGGATTGGAAGCTTTTAGCCCAACAAATGATATCAGAGCTGTGGTGTTCTCCAACAAGTGGTATCAGAGCTGAAGGTTCAAAGCATGAGAAAAGTTAAAGGTTTAAGATGTAAAAAGTGCATGGTTTGAGATATGAGAAGAAGCAAGTCCAGAAGAGCTCGATTCAAGAGAAGAGTTCGAGTTTAAGTTTTGAAGATTGAGGACTGGTTTGTATGAAGCATGAAGACACAAGAGAAGAAAAGATGATTGTGAGACTTTTATTGCAAGTGGAGCCAAATATGTCTAGCATAAAGATAGATGATTTGATGGAATTTATGTCAAGGTGGAGATTGTTGAAAATATTGACTCAAATCCCATAAGAGATTTGTTTGAGATTTGTTAGAGATTTGTTTAGGATTTGTTAAAGATTTGTTTGAGATTTGTTAGATATTGCTAGATGGACAAGAAGACTTGTAAAAGAAGAATTCTAAGAGAAAGAGGATTCTTAATAGTTAAGTTTGACTTGCAAGAGAAGAATTCTAAAAAGAAAGAGATTCTTAATAGGTAAGTTTAACTTATAGGAAAAGAATTCTAAGAGGAGAGAGATTCTTAATGGGTAAGTTTGTATGGTTATAAATAAGTGAAATCTCTACAGGGTTAGGTATGAGAAAAAAGATGTAAGAGAGTTGTAGGATTTTGTGGGATAGACACCCTATAGGAGTATTGGGATTCTACGTCTTCTATATGTGTATGTTTGTTTGTGAGTGGACTAGAAGAGACTGAGAAAGTTCACATAGGTATGATGTATGTGAGCATATAGATATGTGTTTGGTTATATTGAAAGTGTGTACAAGGGTTTGGATTTGTGTTTGTTTGTGTGGAAAAACACTTATTTACAGCTGGTTGTAATCTTGTAATCTGTATATTTATATTTGTATTTCTAGAATTAAGTATTTGTATCCTTAAAATTAGGATAGACACCCTCAATTATAGGATTAATTTTTTAAGAAGATTTTATTTCCTGGTTTAACCGCTAGTTAGTTGTATATAAACCTAAGATTCTTGTATAATTCTCAATAAGCAGTTTTCCAACATACATTTAGTTTTCACACTGATTTATTTCTTAGTTTTTTCACTTGGTATCAAATCTTTAGGCTTTTCTTGGAAAGTAAAATTTTTAGCCTTCATTGTTGACTTTTTTAGGCTTTCATTGTCGAATCCTATTTAGGCCTTTATTGTCAAACCCT